AGACTCAAAAGAAAACGCAAATTATTAACTTCAAAAGAGTTGAAAAAAAGGAAATTTTGTAAATGGCACAGTTGTCTCCATCCTATTCAATTAATAATTGTATTTTATTTAGAAATTTAATTTAAAACTTAATAGAGTCAAAACAATTAACCTTTTATGATAAAAAAGAAATTATGAAAATTGATAGTAATCATTTTCCTAAAGTTGTTGAGGTTTTGACCTTTGATGTTTTCGACTTGTCTTATTTGTAGGAACAAATTGCTATATTGAAGGCCACCAAAATCGCCAATCGGGTTTTCAATCTTATGGATGACAAAGGAGTTCTTTGATTTTCTCATTTTGAAGACTCAAAGCTCGATCACTAATGAAAGTGGAATATCACTATTCTATATACAATAGATAAGTGTTATCATTTCATGGACTTTCTAAATGATTATAGAGATTATAACTTATGTGATCTAACCTATGAAGAGAAAGTAACTCGGTTCTAGCTTTGCTTGGGTCGAAACATATAATGATAAAGTCAAATAGCAATCAAAAGATCTCAAATCGACTTCAAAAGACATAGTTTTGCCCATAAACGAGGCCAAGACTAGTTGAACCATAAAAAAAATAGTGACTAAGGAGTACCAAATAGAAGAGTCCTCTTTTCCCACTCAAGTGGCTTCAAAGAAAAGGCCACACCATGAATAGAGTTCAAACACAAAGAGCTCGAACAGAAAAAAAGATCCAAGTCAACAAGGGTTCTGTAACAATTAAGTAAAGAAGATGAGGAAAATGATTGCTACTCATTAGGTGACTTGAAACCCGAGTGGTTTCGATCGGAAAGACCTTGGCTTAAGTTAAAAAGATCTTAGATGATGCTCAAAGGGAATGCATCTTGAGGAATTATAAATACTCCTCTTACGCTCGAGATCATTTCTAGTCTAGGAGTCGTCCCTATCAAAGGACCGATGATCGAAGGTTGCCAATAGAGGAAAGATATCTCGATAAGACATACAAACTTCCAAGGTTTTGAAAACCAAAGAAGTTAGAAATTGGAGTTTGAAAGAGGACTCAATTTTCTCCTCCAAGATAGCCAAAACATGACGAGTCCTCTAAAACAGTCAAAACATGACGGTTGCCCAAGACAATCAAAAAATAATAGTTTTCCATAATAGCCAAAACATGACGAGTCCTCCATCTATGTCTAAAACTTAGAAGAGGAGATGGTTACAAAAAATAACGTAAATAAAAAAGTTCAAATATCTCAAGATAAGAATACTAGGATGAAAGTCAAAATTCTACAAAGAGGACGATCTGAACCAATGATTAGTTTGAGTTGAACTCCGAGTTTCGAAGAAAGGAAGGAAGTCGTGGAGTCTAGTTATGAGAATGCTTTCAATGAAAATGATTTTGAGATTATTGTGGATGAAGATCCTCGAAATAACTAGAGTCCTACTACATGACCAATAAAATCATGGAGTCTAGTTGTGAGACTCCTAGGTAAAATTGTAGGAAAAGTGAAAATCACATTCCCTTTTATATGATATATTTTAAGGGTTGTGATGGTTGAGATTTAAGATTTGACGATTCGAAGTGGTGAAATAAAAAACCAATAAGCTGTTGGGTAACCGAGGTATGAAAGTGATTGCAACTAATCGTTTAATAAATGAAACAACGTGCGGTCTCATCACGTCTATCAACATTTAATGTTTTACGCATTAGAAAAGGAAATTTTCATCATTTTAACTCTAAAAGGCTAAAAGGGAGGCATGTGTTGGTACTTCAAAATTAAAAAAAAAAAAAATCACATGTTGATCAAGTATAGTATCTTTTTGTGACCAAACAATGAAACATAAATGAAACAGTATGTTTGGTCTTATAACCAATCAAATTTCGACAAAGTGTTCAATCTTAAATGAAATAGTGCATTTTGTCTTATAATCAATCAGTTTCGATGAAACATTAAAATTTAAATAAAACGATGTATGTGATTTTATAATCAACAAAACTCGATGAAACAAGTAAAACTTAAAATACGTATTTTGTGTTTTATTTTCATGTATCTAAATATAAATCTACAACCATTCATGTTTTTTGTAGTTTTTTGGCACGGTGATTATAATAACATTGTTAGATATGATAAACCAATATTTGCATTATATATACAATAACATAGTTTTGAGATTTAGAATAAAATACCTATTTGAGCCGTAATTAGTACTCCAAAACCATGAATGGAATATCCTCTTTTCATTTTTTTTAAAAATAACATAAAATAAAATAAATTGATAAATTAAAAGACAATTAATGGAGTCATATGCTACTGCGTGGACAAGTATTCCTCACAGGATTTACATTATTAGTGGTCTCGTTCTTTTTACGAGCTGTTCATGCGGCTGACCACGTGCCGAAAAGATGTAACGAGATTTAAAACGTGGGACATTCGGAATTCCGAAAACATTGAAGAAATTTTGACATATGTATATCTGGTAGGTCCTTAAGATATATTTACATATAACGAGTCTCAATGACCAACTATTTTTGGTTAAATCTTCATCACTTGAGTATGGCCAAGATGCACTTAAAAAATGTTGAAGAGATTCGGCAAGTTTTTTTTTTTTTTTTTTTTTCAAGATATGTCAAATAAAAAAATTAGACTAATCTCTTATTGCTGTGTGGAATTCATAAGATAAAATAATTATTTTAAAAAAAATTATATACAAAAATTCAAATTCAAAAATATTTATTTAAATCACAAAAAATTTGGATTATTAATTTTCTTGAGATTTTTTTTTAAAAAAAAATTCTTTCAATACCTGATTTGGATGAATTGATCAATGTATGTATTATATATAAGATAACATGTTTTGAGATTTAGGATAAATCCCTATTTGAGCCGTAATTAGTGCTCCAAGATCATGAATGGAATATCCTCTTTTCAATTTTTTTTTAATAACATAAAATAAAATAAATTAGTAAATTAAAAGACAATGAATGGGAATGCATGGAAGGACATTAATGAAGAGTTTCTCAAGCCAGTAGATCATGATCATTTGCCCATACCTCTTCTCACTCTTGTCCTCAATCTTGCACGTGTGATGGATGTAATGTACAAGGATGGAGATGGGTACACAAATGCCAATGGACAAGTGAAAAATTACATTACATCATTGCTCATTGAGCTAGTAGTGCTGCAAAATCAAAATTGAAAGAGCGAGGCAAAATAAATGTAACTATTGTGTGTGTACTGGAGGTTGATGAGAAATAAAGGTACTTTTTCATGACACTTAAGTAGTGGAAATATCTCTTACGTTTGGTTAAGTTATATATTTCTTATGTTTGGTTAAATTAGTATGTATTATCTATAAGATAACATGTTTTGAGATTTAGGATAAATCCCTATTTGAGCCGTAATTAGTGCTCCAAGATCATGAATGAAATTGTCGTTACCCGACGTCGGACGGGACTCCCAAAATTAAATTTCTAAATGTGATTAATATTTACGGATTTATTTACGAGCTTTGGAGTCGCCACCTAGTATTAAGGAACTAGGAACCTAAAAATAACACCGGTTTAGAGATTTTATGGTAAGCGGTTGGTTACACTTTTAGGAAGATAATTATTCACCCTAAAAGTGGCCTTTCCGAAGAAAGGTACCACATCTTGTTCTAGTCCTAAATTTATCTCCTATATTGTTCATTTATGCCAATTTGTTTTCTAATTTTAAACAATTACTTTAGCAAAATTTGATTTTTAGTTTTGAGCGTGGCATCGTATTGAAGCGATCGTCGGTCTCCTTCATCGGGCGACACTTCGGTTTAAACATCGGATTCACTTAAAGCTTTGACACAACCGGTGCATCGAGAGGACACTCGATTATTAAATTATGATTTTTGGTGACGAAGGTCCCTATCGGATAGGAGACCTCGCCACGAAACGACAGATCCTACCAAGAGGAGACTTCATCGAGAAAATTTATTATTATTTTATATTATTTTATTTTTAATAGCATGCATGCATAAAAGTCAAAACTAAAATAAATATTAAGTTAAATACAAACAGACAAAATATACAAATAAAAATAAAACGATTAAAATAATTAAACCCCTCTAAACATCCGAATTAAATACAATATACATACAACTTAAATTTCTAACTCAATATATTTTTTATTATATTCCATTCCCGGTTGGAGACTGAATTAAATCCATCTTTTTATTTTTATTTTTTTATGAAAAATGGAGGAATGCAAAGGCAGATAGTGAACCAATCTTTGCCTTCTTTTTTTTTTTTTTTTTTTTTAATTTTTATTCTTAACTAGCGGCCCAGCCTCCATTCAAACCCAAATCACCTTTCTTTTTTATTTCGCCGCAGACCAAGCCAAGCCCATGAACCCCACTTGACAAAAGCTTATACTTTTGGTCAAATGTTTCATAATAAATTCCAAGAATTTTTCTCTCATTTTCTGGTTCTGTCACGCCATTTCTTTCTTTTCTTTTCTTTGTCTTTTCCCTATTTCGTCTCTCTCCCTCACCACATACCAGGATCCCTTCATTTTTTTTTAAATCAAGACCGCTTTTACTCAGCCCTCCTCTCTCTCTCTCGTTCATCCTCGCTTTTTATTTATTTATTTATTTATTTTTGGGTGTAATCCTAATTTTCTCTCTCCCTCACCATATACCAGATCGAACCAGGATCCCTTCTTTTTTTTTTTTTTTTTTTTAAGACCGTTTCTGCTCAGCCCCCTCTTCTCTCTTGTTCATCCTCGCTTTTTATTTTTGCTGGGTGTAATCCTAAATTTCTCACCTTACCAAAACAAAGTTCATTCCCCGAATTGAGTTACTTTAGTGTAATTACTCGAACTTCAAACCCGTCACTATTGTTTCATGACCAAACAATTGGGTGTCTTATTTAGCCTTTGTTACTGCCATCCTTTTTATGTTTAGACCTGACCAATTGACAAAATAATAATAATAATAAATAAATAAATAAAATATTTTGAAATACTTGGGTAGAAATGGACGAAGTGGAAGGCGTTGAAAGAATTGGTGTGGTGTTGTTGGGATTTTGTGTTGCAGGTGTTCGATTACGGGATTTATGATGTTGTGGATGTGCTTTGTTCGCCTGGAATGATTGAAAGGAACACTGGATGGCTTGTGTTCTTTAAAACCCAGCAATTATGAATTTGCAAACCCGAACGGAGAACCCCGAAGAATGCAGTGAAACCCTGCCTAGAAAATTCTAAAAGGAACAGCAACTCGGAGAATGCTACTGCCTAAAACCCAAAAAAAAAACTTCTTTCTTTTTTTTTCCTTCCCCCCCCCCCCCCCTTTTTTCCTTCTTCTTTTTTTTTTTTCATGATACTGCCCTTTTATAAACATTGAGAATTTGAGTTTCACCTTCAATCAAACACTTTCAAATTCAAGTTTCATCCTAAATCAAATACCTAAAAATTCAAATGTTTTAGTTATTCAATTTGAACTCAAACTCTGTTGTTGAAAGGTGATCCAACCAAACTAAACTGAATTTTAAAATTGGAATAAACTTCAATATGTTTCTTTTTTTTTTAATTTATTTTTTTGGTTTTTTGTATTTGTTTTTTTTTAAATAATAATAATATAATAAAAAAAATGAAAGTTTTTTTTTTTTTTGGTTATTACAGGAATATCCTCTTTTCAATTATTTTTTTTAATAACATAAAATAAAATAAATTAGTAAATTAAAAGACAATGAATGGAGTCATATGCTACTGTGTGGTCAAGCATCTCACAGGATTACATTATTTGTGGTCTCGTTTTCCCTGGCGGTTTGTGGTCAAGCATTTCTCACAGTATGTGATATGTATTTTTTGAGGTGGGTTTTTTCTCGTCCTTTTGCCAGGCGGTCCTGATGGCCTCGTACGATACTTCTTTGACTGTGATTGTTACATTATTTGAGGCAGTCCATTCATGAAAAAGAGACGAGTCTTTTTAAAAGAGTGCGATACTTCTTTTGTACCATTTGTTTGTGCAAAGTCATTCAGTCCGGTTGAAACTAGTGCAAGAGTGTTGAATCTCCCATGCACTGTACGCACTGTATGCACTGTATGTTTTTATAGCCAAGTCTGCTTCCTGATTTGTCAATGATCATTAACTCTAAAGAAAGGGACAAATTGCCTTTCATAGCGCCTAGTCTATTCGACATTAAAACTTGGTTGTTGCTCATTTAATATTACATTAGCAAGCTCCAATTTACAGGTTATTGCATCATTATTCTCCTTCTCCCAGCTGAAGTTTTATTTCAAAACTGGTGCTCAGAGGGGAGGGGGAAAAAAAAAAAAGAGCTCCCTCACCCTAGGTGTAATAATCACAGGAACTAGTAAGTTGTTTAATAATCAATAGAACCCAAGTCTGATGTGACATGGATCATTACCGGTAAAGAAATGGACAAATAGCGTTTCCTGGTGCCTAATCTAGTCGAGGTTGTTGAGAGAGGTTGCAGTGCGCGGGAAGATTGCGAGGAGTTAAATTTTTATCATGGCAACCCATAAGCTATTGCCTTGCTAATTTTTCATTGGAATGGAACCATTGCCATAATGACCTTTCCTATACTAGGTAAATCATGATGGCAACCCATAAGCCAACCGTAGTTGAGTGTATAATGACCTTTAATAATCAACGTCGCCTTAGGAATAGAGCGTTATATGAAGGAGCATGAAGTTTCAGAGCAACAAGCATATGATGAGTTGCGTAGGCAAGTTGGGAACGCACGGAAGGACATTAATGAAGAGTTTCTCAGGCCAGTAGATCATGATCATTTGCCCATAACTCTCCTCACTCGTGTCCTCAATCTTGCTCGTGTGACGGATGTAATGAACAAAGATGGAGATGGGTACACAAATGCCAACCGTAGTTGAGTGTATACCGACCTTTCATAATCAAAGTCGCCTCAGGAATAGAGTGTTATATGAAGCACACATCACCACCATTGCTATTGTCGTCTACAAACAATGACGTATGCTAAACAAAATTCTAGAGGCAAAGATAGAGTTGAGTGTATAATGCTATAGTTTGCATTGATCCCAAATTTTACTCACGTCAGAATGAAATATTAAATTTAATTATGTTAAAGCTTAAAAAAAATTAATTTCTTTAATACATAATTTTGATTGTCAAATATAATGAGTGTAAAAATCTTACATTTAAATTTTATGTGTGAAAAAAAGGTTTATTTTCTTACTTGAAACTTGTAAGTATTTATATATACAATCAACTTAAAT